GCTGTCGGATTGTTCGTCCTGGAAGTTCATGCAGGTCACATATAGAACACAGCATAAGGTCATATATGAAAACAAGATGTTGAAGCATGAAAATCACGTATAGTATGTTTAAAGAACTATCAAATGTAGTCTGATCTACGTAAGTTTTTATATATAAATTATGAATTTGAAACAAATTTTTTTATTACGAACAAACATAACCTATATAATATCTGATTATCGATCAAATTGGCTATTGAGCACCATCATAGTGTACCAATTGTGGTCCATAGTAAAAATCGAGGACCATCTTCTTGTACATTGAGGAATACATCAAAAGATGCAGAATTTCAAGGGCTTTCAGAAACTGAATTCAATTTTTTGGGATGGAATCATGCGACTAGGTCAGAAGCAAATTACTAGCTAAAGAACTACTATAAATCATAGACCTCTCTTCTCTTGTGGAGGCACAATCAATTACTAAAATTCATTATAATGACTACTAAAATACCTCATTTTGTAGAAAACTCTTTTATGCATATTTTGAGACTTCTTCCGACTTAAAGCAATGAACAGAGGTAGAGAAAATTTCAAAATATCATCAAGATGTGAAAAAAACCAGTTTTTAAAATTTTTATGGTCTAACCACAAAAATCGACGATTGTGGTTCTTCGACATTTTTCACAAGTAGATCAGAAAAATACGATATTTTGGATTTATATGTTTCTCTATATGATCTTTTGTTTGTGCTAAAAAACTCAACAAAAAAATTTAGCGGCGGTCGACCCTATATGAGTTTGGTCGGTATTCTGGCGGACGCTCTCTTAATAACAATATTTTATCTTATTTCATTTGAAGAACAAGGCATTTTTCATATGATTTATTTATTGGTATCGATTTTTCCATGTTTCATTTTTTCAACAATTGAACAAATTGCTTTCAATTATTTTCAACAAACATTTTCAATAACAAATATTAATACAAATTTTATTGAATATGGTCAAATGTTATTAAAACGAGGACAAGATAATCAACCATTTCGTATTCACAATATACACACTGCTATTTATATCACATAAGATCGAATAGATTCCATAGAAAAATCTTTATTTTTAATAATGAATAACATTCAGAACTCGAAGTATGTATTAGAAATGGGACTAAATCGATGAAAAGTAATTCCGTTATACCATTCTACAGAGTTGACTACCTGTATGACATCTAATCTATCTTATAGACACTGAAATAAAACTGTCACACAATTGTTGATTGAGATAACAATGAGGTTTTCAGTAAGTTCACATCATGTGAAAAGATTTGATCGGTAAGACGAGCTCAGATATTTTGAAGCTAACATGGAGCTGTTGCACATCTGATGATAATGAAGTAAATTGATTTTTCTCTGTTATAGAAGAACGAACAATAAAATTAAATGCGTGAACATAATTAAATAATTTAGCTCGTTTATTAATAATAATATCATTATTATTAATAACATTCGTTTTTCCTTATTCATCATCAATAATAAATATTAATGTTGGATCAAAATTAGATTGTGTATTATATCTTCATTTGTATTTAATAAATATTTTATTAAATGGTATAAATGTAATAAAAGAATCATTTGTTCAATCAATAATGTCAATTAAACAATTAAATTCTTACAAAAAATCTTTTATTAATCTATTAATTTATTTATCTTATTTTTTTTTTGTTATATATTTATAAAATTATTTGGTATAACTGGAATTATAATAATTAATTGTTTAAATATATTACAAATAATAATAATAAATAATAATTTAATAAATCGATAATTTATTCGAATTGAAAGGTTAAAATCATATTTATTTTCATCACATTATATATTATTATGATTAATAACATATGTTATATGTAATTTAAGTCAAAATTTAATTGAAAATAGTTTTGGACAAATAAGTTTTGGTATTAGTTTTATATTAACAATAATTTGTTTAACATTAATTGAAGAAAAAGAAATGATTCATTATGTTTATTGTGTATTTAAATTAAATAATCAAAAGAAAAGATCTACACTTTTTAAATAAATATTTATCAATTTTTCTACTCCAGCATTTTTTCTTGTTTTGTAAATAAATCACAGAATCAACCAAAAACAAAATGTTTCTTCCTGATTCTTTGTCATTTTGTGGAGAAGAATGTGCTTTTTTTTTTATTGACAAAAGTGTTCAAGAAAAAAAAAGTAGTCGTTGTATTATCATATTCCACGTCTATATGAATTGATTTGTACTCGGTTTTTTTGTAAGAATATCTTTGCTGAATTATTCTTCTATAACAATGATCTTTATTAAATAGAAGAAAAAATTGATCATTTTATCAGTTAAACCTTTCAATTTATTTTCTTTTACTTTGAATATCGAATTTTGATATACGAAGATGGATAGATTTTCATTGTCAGTATATTAAAAAGTGAAACAAAACATTGAATGTTTTCATTTTAACATAATATGTATTCTATTCGATTGAAGAAAATATTAAGTTAATGTCTATATAGATCATTATCAATGAGATTCCTTTTATCTTATGATGAACGCCATTTTTAAGGATTCAAACCATAGTTATTATTTAACACTACGATATCACGAGAACGATTTATGAATTTGAGCTGTAACTTCTTGATTATCTTCAACTTCTACCACAATTAGTCCAGATCAATCTGAATAATTTTAAACAAGAAAATTCAATTTCTCTTCTCAAAAGTAGATTTGATGAAGTGTTGCATATTTATCTCTTACTAAATGTATAAATATCAATATAATTGATTAGTGTTTGATTGTTTAATCACAAAAATTCTCTATCGTTCACAGACGAAAATCATTGATACTTGGCTTCGTAGCGATCCTTAGAAAATATAAAGGAAAATATAGGATTGTATAAACAACATTTTTATAGGATTCTCTACAAAATATAGGAAAAATGTAGGACAAAATATTTCAGAAAAAAAAAACACTTTTTGATGAATTTCGGAAAAAAAACTGCAGTGACCTGCAAATCGAGCAGAATCTGTGGCTCATATTATAAGATAAACTGCAAATGAATTCAAGCCAAAATTAGTCAAAATCAAAGAGTAAAGCATTTTCAGCAGAATATGAAAACTAAATGGCTTCTACTCGATTGATTGACCGAACTCTACTACTACCTATATGAAAACAGCTGTAGAACAAATGCGAAATAGGTAACTTAAAGGAGCAGAAAAATAGTTCCTTATTTTTTTCGACTTGCTTGATGTGTTTTTTAATAATTATTATGTAAAGCATGTGAGAGCCTCATAATCAACATACATATGAATACGAACAAAAGTTATATAGAAAGATGCCTGTTTAATCGATACAGATTGTTGCGTTAACTGTGATTCTTTGTCTTTTTTGTTGCTGTTTGAAAAGTCACATCTGATTTTCTTATAAATTTAAGCTAAATAACATCTTAACAAAGCTCGGAATGTGGATTCCGTCGTGAACACTTTCAACTCCTAACTGTTGCATTTTTAAATAAAACTTGCTTGGCACACGGGAATGTCTCCATTATACAGCTCTAAATAATCTGATCAAAGTCATGTAGTAGTGTTATCGTTTGTCTTGTTATCAATATTACGAATTAGGCGATTGAAAACAATCATTTTTCGAGTCCTAGATTTAGTAAACACTATTAATATGTTTTGTCTTTCTATCACTGGCAACGTTTTCTTCAAGAAAATTATAGGGCATTGATCGTATAATTATCTGTGCTATTGAGTAGCAGTGGTTATGCTCTCACTGGTGTAGTGTGGAAAATGAACAGTCTAGATATAATGGCGTCCGCTTTATTTACTCTCTACGGTTGTATCCCGAGAAAGAACTAAGTTTGTGAAATTCTCTTTTGTAGAGGTAATGGTTTTAACGAATGAAACCAGTTCAAAGGGAAAAAGACAAGATCTCAGTATTCCACTCGCACGTCAGATTGCAGCAGTCGTGGTATTTTTCTCTTGAACCATTAGCTATCACTCGAATAACGTTTTACAAATTTTAAGTCTTGAAATATGAAGCTCGAGTGTGCACTAATATATTCTTATTTGCTACTTTGAAGACAATCGTGACCCAAAGTAATGGCTTGAAATGGGTTTATCCTGAACAAGCAGTATCAGATTTGGCAGCGATAATTGACAGTACAATATTATGCGAAAATTGGATATGAACTCCTCAATACACTAGTCATATTCATAAACGATTTCGAAAGAATGAATGAATTGTGACAATACATATGATAGTGAGCTAAAAAATATGGATACATTGTCAATAGATCTCATGTTTATTGTTGCTGATGGAACCAGCGATACGTGAATAGGCATGCTTGCCTTTTCTAGGCAAAGTTAATAGCAATTAAAACAACGATCCTAAATTTTTTGGAGAATATAGGATAAATGTCTGAAAAAGAGGACATTATAGGACGACTACAAAGCCTGATTGATACTCAAAACTTTTCTATGAAAAAGTTGTTTAACAGAGACAATCTTTCTTTTCTATATCTGTAGTCGTATAGATATATATTTCATCACAAAAAACTTCCAAAAATTATCCATTATTACCAATTTTCTTGTTACTAATTTGTGTTCATTATTGTCATCTATATTATTAGCAGTGTGTTCTTTCATTGACTGGAATAAAACAAGCGAAACTATATTATGATTAACAATGTAAATCAAAAATCATCTTAATCATAATCAACATATCATATAATCACTTGAGTAAATGACAAAAAATATGATGTTAAGTAGTAGATTTCGTTTTGAAACTTTATTCATCTATACAATTTTATTTTTCGATCATACTGCAACATAAACATATAAGATTATATTAGCAATTGTTTTTCACAAAAACTCAATTTTCATAGCAGATTTTGTCTTCATAGACGGCTCACATTTTTTGTATTATCCTTGATTTTTTAAGAATAAAAAAATTATAATTTACACTAGAGATTTTTATTAAGATAATATCAGCACAAAATTAAACTGCCAATAAAGGAAAATAGCGATAAACATCTTTCGGATAAGTTATTGGATTTTCAACAATTAATCGTTTTATTCTAGCACAATTACGTCGCGTTTTATCTCTTGTAAAATTTTTTGTTACAAATTTCAAACTATCATAACAGACCTTTAATTCTGTTAAATGAGGTAAATGTGCTTTTTCTTCATTGAGAAAATGTTCGACATAATAAGTATTTACACATTCGATGTCAAGTGAAATAAGATGAGGATATTCAATAATTGAGCACCAATCTTTATAGCGTAGATGATATTTGGGAGTTCCCAAAAATGGTGGTTTAATATTCCAAATTGATAAATTTTTAAGAAATGGAAAAGCTCGAGCAAGTCGAATGAAAAATTCATGTTTAAATTCATCTTTGTCCCATAATTTCAAATGAGTAACAGAATTAAATACAATATTTGGAATATTATTTCCAATGTCGTCGAGACGATGAAATTTAAATGGAAGTGAAAAAATGCGACATATCATTTTGTAAGGGTCAAAATAATCTACCATAGAAGTCATCGGTCGATGTTCTTTATTTGTGAAAGTTCGTTGAATATCATCATTAGATATACGAATAGCTGGATCAGGATTGTCATTTTTAGAAGCGATATAAAATGTGAATGTATGAAGTTTTGGCATATGAATAAGAATTTCATTATCAAGATAAGTGCCAGCGATGAATGTTAATCTATTCCATATACGAATATATAAAGTTAATTCTTCGAGATATGACATTCGACGAAGAAGAGGTACAACTACAGTGTTAAATCCTACAGTACTATGATAGGATGTTAATGAGAAACATTTTAAATTAGGTAGATCAACCTGAAAAATAGAAAGCAAATATTTATAACTTCATTTTTATCAGTTGAACTAAGAAATAAATTCACATCGACCATTAATCAATAAACATTATTCATTTTCAAATTCTGTTTTTAAATGTTTCTCGACTTCTATGAAATATATGTATTATCTTGTAATAATGATTAATTTGTATTTGTTAACTTCAGACGCATAGGAACTAGGGAACAATTTGATAAAATCATCAAATATTATATAGGAATAAATTTTCTTAATATATTTCAAAGCATTCAATAAGATTCATTATATAGATGTTACAAGAAATATTATTAGTAAAGAAAATTAATAGTTCTTTTACATAAGTATGCTCTTTTGAACAGTTTAAGTAAATGAAGTTGTAAAAAAAACTCGATAGATTAAAGTGTTTATTTTGGAACCAGCTATATGTTTTATTTTATTTTTTTTAAATAGATGAATAAGTCCATAATTAATGAAACAGATATAGAACAAAATATTTTCTATCAGGTAATTTAATAACGACAATGGTTTATTAATTATTTTCAAATGAATAATGATTAATTATAAAATAATCTCGAATAACGTCAAAACAACGATAACAATCTATTTCTAATTATTTTCTCATAATCAAAACTAAAACATCATATTTACTAATGTAGACATCTCATTGTTTATTGAAGTTCGAATTAACTTCATTTTATCTTCGATATTAAACACTAATTAGAAAACGATAATAACATGAAGCATAAACGCACCCTTTTGTGAGATGTTGATATGTGATCTTCGATAAGATGAACTTGAACAATGAATCTAGTTAATTGTTTGAGACGACCATCAAGTAAAGCATGAACATCATTAAAATCTTCTACGTTGATACATAATTCAGTGAGTGTCGAAGAGGAAAAAGTTGTTGATGGTAAAAAACAAAACGATAAACTTGGATAATTCTTGATAGACGATAGCACAATAGTCAAATGCTTCAGATTTTCAAAGAAAGCAAAGATATTTGCATAAACATTCTTGGTATACTCTTTTTGTGTTATTTCAATATTGTTTTCATTAATGATAAGAGTAAAATTTGTAATTTGTTTTTTACAAATATGTCCAAAGAGAGAATCGCCTAAATAAAATACATAGATATTGTTATATGTAAGTATCTCAATATTTTTTTTTATACTAATCTTTTAAAAGATCAGTACATATAAATATCTTACCTATGAAGTAACGTAAAAAGATTTCTTTGTTGAAATTAAAAAGTTTAAGTTCAGTAAGATTAGGATAATGACCAGCACCAAGAATATATTCCAGATAAATGGATTCAATACTGAGTGATTTAACATTTTTATGAATTCTTGGCAATATATCAATGCAAAATCGATTTAATATTGCGGCAGAAATTGAAGAAATCTCATCAGTTGATTGTGATATGGAAACAAAATTAAGAATGTTAGTAAAGTTTTGTTCTTGTGCTATAATGTTAAGTCGTTGATTGTTGATACCCAGTAAAGAATAAAGAACATCAATATTGTCAAGTTTTTTCAAAATGAGAAATAATATTTCATTAGGAAGATCAAGAAGACGAATATTATGCTGATTCATCTTGAAATCTAATTGTAATGCTTTTCGTAACATGATATATATATATATATACTTATATATTGATTCTTTGTTCATAAGCACTCTTCTCATTGGAGAAAAAAAATGACCTTTTTTGTTTAGCGAAAAAATATAACATTTTTGTCTAGTCTAGAGGGCTGCAGGGTGCAGTATTTTCGTAACCTGTAACCTGCCCTGTAAAAATTCTGCAACCTAATCCTGTCCTGCCCTGTGAATTTTTTCGCGTACCCTGCCCTGTCCTGCCCTGAGACTTTTTTTCATAACCTGTAACCTGCCCTGCCCTGCTGTATTTGATATTACAAAAAAATTCATAACTTTTCATCGACTTCGTATATCAATTCTCCTACTTTATGTTGTTTTATGCTTCGATATTCTTCTTCGTATAAAATTTTTCAAAAGATGTCTATAATGTTTGATTCGATAAATTAATAGCAGGTTAACAGGTTATGACAGTGCTGCCCTGTAAAAATTTCGTAACCTGACCCTGCCCTGCTACTTTTGCAACCTGCCCTGTCCTGTCCTGGCAGGGCAGGGCAGGGCAGGACAGGTTATGGGCACCCTGTAGAGCTCTAGTCTAGTCGAACATCGTTGCAGACGGATATTTCTTTTTCTTCTTCGATTATTTATTTCTACGTGAATGTAATCACAGTGGTGTTTTACATCAGATATAAATAGAAATAGATGCTCATTTAGGGAGAAAAAAAAAACAAAAAAATGATCAACTGCCAGAAATCGGACTCTATTGTCTAGTTATGATTATTTTTTTAAAAAGAATCAGAAAACATCATGGTACAATATCTGTTCGTTCCTGAAGAAAAAATTTTGTTTTAGAAAAGTAGAAGTAGAAATTCTTGGCTTAATAAGATTTTCATGGTTCTGTATTGCACTATATTCAGAAAGCAATAAAAAATATTGGGAATATACGTATGTGGTATTATTGATATGATGAGAAGTAGTTCCATTATTAAAGTCTTCGTAAGTCAAATGGATATTTCGACACTATTTTCATACTCAATTCGATGACCTTTTATTTTTATTTTTTTTAAATTCGAAATTTTACCAAAATGTGTATGGAAAATTGTGAAACATGATTTCGTTTTTGTTATTCTCAAAATCTTGAAACAATGTACTATGATACAGCTGCTCAGGATAGTCATTCATTTTTGCTAAAAAGAAAATTAAAAACAAATGTTCATGCAGGAAGTTTGGTGAGGTAAGAGCTCGTTTTAACACGTAAAGGTGCTTTCTTTTATCAATCTTGTTTGACTAGAGACAGCAGACGAATGTTCCTTCGTATCTATCTCAAAATTCCCGATTGAGGACATTGTGAGAGGTAGATGAATAAGAGTATCTATAGTTAAGCTTTTCCATCTAGGAGCCAATGTTTTCTTTTCTTATCGTAATATGATACTTTAAAGTAAAAAACACCGGTTGTCTTATTGATAATGTCAAGCTTACAAAAATAAAGTATATAAAAAATATGATAATAGAGCCAAGCGGGGCGAATCAAGAGACCCTTTAAAATTTTTGTCTTGTTTTATTTATATCTTCGTCATTTTACACGATAGAAAAAAAAATTTTCTTCACAAACAATGTAGAGAAAACATTTTTCTTCAAGCTCCTGCTTTCAGATTTTGAAAATCTTATCGGAGACAAAACTTACGCTAGTTTTCTTGAGACCCCTAAAGCATTATCGATTCGTCCCAGCTTGGGGAGAATCAAGAATCACACATCTATAAGCGGAGCAAATCTAGAATAGCATTGAATTTCAGCTTTGACAGTAAAATCAAAGTTTCTCGTCCATTTTTAATCCGATTTCAACAATTCTTTCGCCCATATGTAGCTCAATCATTTCTCTACAATCCTAACATACGTTTACCTATAATGCCTTCAGGAAATCTGAGAACGAAATCTTTTCATGGAACCACCAAGAAAAAAAAATTTCTTGATTCGTCCCACATGGGGCGAATCTAGAATTACATATACAGTCGCGGTAAAAATTATCCGTACGATTTCTTTTTTTCATCAAACTTAGTCAAAATACAGACTTTTTAAGGGTTTTTCGATATCAAAAGAATCATCACATCACCTAGTATTTACAATAAAAAAAAATCAACGTTATTGATTGAATTTATATGAAATGAGAAGTCAATCTTTTAAAATCATGTATGTTTTAGACGCAAAAATTATCCGTACGATTTTGATAATAGTTATATGTTTCGTTCTTCATCCCAGGCGAGCAAAGGACTAGACATGTTGCGTCGTCCTGACTCTAGAGATTTTAAATGAAAAAATGAAGAGCATCCATGACGCTGCGTCTAACAGATTGTAGCCTTATGTAGTGGTCTAGTCCGGACTAGTCTAAGCTATAGAAATGTGAAGCCGTAGGTTAGATTCGAACATGCATACAATATATAACTTACTTGTCGTTTATCCGATTGAACTATATGATCAAGTAATCATCTTCTACATGTCAATAGACATTCTAACATGCTATTTAATAGAATTTTATTTCTACTTTTCCTAATTTTAGTATGAATAAAAAATATTTCTCGTAAAATCCAAAATTAGTTAAACACGGCTGAATAAAATAAGTTTAGAGTTTTTCAAAATTTTTTTCAGCGAAATTCTTTTGCTCACTGACATCTGAAAAAAAAATGATCTTGTTTTGGAAAAAAATTAAATTCCACAAACAAATCAAAAATATGATAAATTAAAAAAATTCTTTTTGTATGTTATAGTTTATGCTTATATAAATATTAAATTTTTGCAATTTAAACTTAAAAATTAAAATTACACAACATGATTCCATTTTTAAATTGTATTATAAAATTTATACTGAAGATAGAATAAAATTTCCATAATAAAAATATACAAAAATATTTTTTCAAAATAAAATTATTTGTAATTGTCTTTACAATCTAAGAAATTTTAAAGAGCATAAGTAAACAACTCTCGTTAAGATGTAAACAGCTGCTTTTTATTTTACTATACATCATTCTAGTCTCAACAGGAATCAGTCTAAAAGAGTTGTCCGAACAATTATGTCCAAGCAAAAACAACTGTATGAAGAATTTAGACTAGTCTGGACCAGAACTAGCACTACTTTCTCAAAAATCGAGTAGTCATGACTGGTACAAATGACTCCTCACAGTAGACACAATTACTATTGAAGACATTACAGACTAGTCAGGTATTGAATATTGTCGGATATAATGTTCGAATCCACCTATTATCCTCTTTTTCTTCTGGTTTTCTTGTCCTGCTGACTAATCTGGACAGTATTAACAGATAAAACAGACTACCCAGGCAGGCAAGAAACGGAAAAAAAACGGTATTTCAACGGGTTTAGACAGAAAAATGAAAAAAAAACGCATTATAACTCATTGATATGATGAATCAAAACATTGAACACCGTTAAAACGGGTTTATTCTTGTGTAAACAGGTTTTAATACATTTCATAGACAAATTATAATGATTTGATGCGTTTTAATGCATTCATATATATATCAAGCAGAATCAACTAAAAAGGTATCGTTTAAACTCGCTTACTGTTATTGTTTGTTCTAGTAACAACGCGTTTTGGGTGTGGGTGTGGGTGGATGGGTGTGGGTGTGGGTGTAGGTATGGGTGTGGGTGTGGGTGTAGGTATGGGTGTGGGTGGGTGGGTGAGTGTGAGTGTGGGTGTGTGTGAGTGTGGGTGTGGGTGAAGAAAAGAACAATATCGACACCCACATCCACACACTGTAAAAGAAATAGGTGTTCTATCAAACTTTGAAGGTTTCGCAATCGTTTTCGATTATTTAAATTTGACAAGTCAACATGAAATTTTTGTTTTTAGATAAAGTATATGTTATTTTGAATATATAGTAATGAAACGAGTAATAAGAAATAGAACAAAATATAAGGTTTTTCGAGTTTTTTTTCTTTATAATTTTTTATTTTTTTTTATTTTTTATTTTTAATTTTTAAATAATTTTATTATTTTTAAAGAAAGATAAGGAAAAAACAAAAGAAAACAGAGAAAGAAAAAAATAATCAGTGGAAAAAAATTTTAATTCAAGAAAATATAAGTAACAAAAGGCCTTTCGAATTATCTTTTTCAAGCGGTACCTTTATGTGATACATAGACTGTTTATAGAAGTAAGTAATATAAATCGATGTGGAAAGATGAAAATGAAAAAGAAAAAGAAAAGAAAAAATTCAGGTAACCGTGCATAAATGGTAAGTAATATAAATCAATAGGGAAAGATGAAGAAGAAATAACTTCAGATATTTGTGTATAAATACGTAACTTTCCGTAACATGAATATCATTCGGAATCATGTACTCATTACAAATTGTTATATATATATGTCGCAGGAAAAATTAAAATTCAGGAAAATTTAAAATTTTCCTAGGAAAAATTAAAATTTTAATTTCTCCTAGGAGAAACTAAAATTTCAATCTTAACTGGATATTTTCTAGGAAAACTTAAAATTTTAGTTTCTCCTAGGAGAAATTAAAATTTTAATTTTTCCTATAGGAGAATTTTAAATATTCCTGAATATATAATATCAAATTTATTACTTTTATATTTCAAAAATACAAAGATTAAAGTAGACATTTCAACGTGGTTTCGTTTTTTGATAAATCGCATTTAGTACCATATTGTATTTTTGCTGCTCGAGAACGACATTTCTTTGTTGAAAAGTGCCATTACAATTATATGCTTCAGTGAGAGTAATTAATCCTGCACTCACATAAGCTTTACAGGCTTGAATGAACGTCATTGCTAGTAAAGCGGTTGAATCAACATCATGTAAGTCACGAACATTACAGTTAGATAAAAATTTAATAGATCTAGTGGTTGAAACTGTGAGGAGATTATACCTGTTCACACAGAATTTGAGCTAAGAATCTCCCTAACCATCACGGAGAAACAAAATTATATCATCATATAGTGATTGTTTTATAGAGAACTTATCTTGACACTTGTCATTTAAATCTTCGGTATGATTATCAAGTAATTTAT